CATGTGCTAGTGATTTAAGCACCGTGGCTGTGTGAAGTACTCTTGTTATTGCTATGCAATGTACCAGCATCGTGTATTAGCATATCTGAAGCGCTGACAAACACACCTGGTTAGGCACCAACAGAAACACAACAAAAACAAAACAATAAAAGCAAAGACCTTTTGCTACCTCCAAAATACCATGTCTAGGTAGCAATAAAAGCTTTACAGACGTCTTAACTAAATTGTAGCCTAAAGTATGTAATTTCACGTTATTGTAGTTTAATTGGTTAAAACCAAAGGCATTTTGAAACTGAAAACGTAAATTCTGTTTTTTTCCTCTGATCGTCATTGTTTACCCACTGATAACACTCCCGAGTCCAGGGTTAATAACGCCAAAACTATTAAAGATATTGCCATCATGTTACGGTTAAAAAACAGCTTTAGAGGAAGGAGGAGGAGAACTTAACATTTATGTCTAGAAGACAGTAATCTTCAGTCATTCTTGAATGTCAGAATGACAGTCATTCTTCGTAATCCCGCAGGTCGTTGTCGCGATCTGTGATCTCTCTCTCTCTCTCTCTCTCTCTCTCTCTCTCTCTCTCTCTCTCTCTCTCTCTCTCTCTCTCTCTCTCTCTCTCTCTCTCTCTCTCTCTCTGTCTGTTTCAACATCTGCAGCTCTGCGTCTGACAAGAAAAAGCTGCCGGGGGATGTAAATATGTATGACAGGAGGGAACAGCAGTCTTTGAGCTTGTCCTGTTGAGGCTTCCTGGAGGTAAACGGGGTACTAAGGAAGAAGGAAGCTTCGGGGGAGAGGAGCACACTTAGGAAGAAGACCCAATGCTCTTTTCAATCGAAGAAATGTCTGCAATTCCCGTTCAAGACTAGAGAATTGGGGGAATACATTGCAACACTAATTCGGATTTAGTCGTGGTGACGTTATCGTAGGTTTGACAGTAAACGCTTCTATTGCTATATTAGACCTTAGTGCTATGCATAGTACAGGTGTCATGTTGTCACTGGTACATGAGGTACCAGAACATCATACAGTTCCAGTGTCATATCAGGTATGTCATGAAGATCATCTATGCATTATAGACTGTCAAGCGTTATGTGAATCACAGTTATTATGACATGTAACATTTATAAACTTGTATGTGGATAATTATCCACATACAAGGTACTTGTATTTTGAACTCATCAAATTGTACTCAGTTATATCTTCAGGAGATGAGTTGTGGCTCCTGGTTTTCGCCTCTCAATCTTTAATCCACTTCACTATAGGTTCCAGAGCTATTCGGCTCTGTCATATCTACATGTAAAGCTGTGTGTATGGAGTCTTATCTCCACCACTTCGCTTCTTAGGGCAATCCATTTGTTCACTCTCTTGGCACAGAAGGAATTCTTTCTAATGTCTCTGGCCCAACAGGATACTTTGTTTACATCTGTGTCCTCCTTGTTCATATACTACCCATTCTAATATGTCTTTATTGCCGACTATGGCTATTCCACTGAATATTTTATAAATGGTGATCATTCTTCGTGACTCATACCTCTCTGCTCAGGGACTAGTCTGGTGGCATACCTCTGAGCTTTCTCCGGCTTTATTTTGTGTTTGAAGAGATCAGGGCTTCACGCAGGTGTTTGAAGAGATCAGGGCTTCACGCAGGTGTTTGAAGAGATCAGGGTTTCACGCAGGTGTTTGAAGAGATCAGGGTTTCACGCAGGTGTTTGAAGAGATCAGGGCTTCACGCAGGTGTTTGAAGAGATCAGGGCTTCACGCAGGTGTTTGAAGAGATCAGGGCTTCACGCAGGTGTTTGAAGAGATCAGGGCTTCACGCAGGTGTTTGAAGAGATCAGGGCTTCACGCAGGTATTTGAAGAGATCAGGGGCTTCACGCAGGTGTTTGAAGAGATCAGGGCTTCACGCAGGTGTTTGAAGAGATCAGGGCTTCACGCAGGTATTTGAAGAGATCAGGGGCTTCACGCAGGTGTTTGAAGAGATCAGGGCTTCACGCAGGTGTAGCATATTCCAGAACTGATCTGACATAAATTGTATGCAAGATCATTAGTGACTCTTTGTTCTGATTCCTAAAAGCAGTTTTATGTTGTTGAACATTCAATAAGCATCTTTTGATAATTAGTGTTGGCTTCTGGTGACAGGTTCAATGTCATATCAACCCACAATTATTTTCCTTTTCACGATTCTATTACGGTTCCGTCTTCCATGTTGCGCCTTGTGTTCGGTCTCCTGTTTCCCCGTGCCCAGCTTCAGTACCTTGCATTTTTTTAGTTAAACTCTAGAAGCCACTTAATGAACTATTCTTTCATTTTTTCTAGTTTTTGCAGTTTCTCATAGTCTTATCGTACGTATACGCCTTATACTTACTTTTAAGGTAGGAATGTACTTCATTGATAGATCGTTTACGTAGATTGGGAATATGACTGGCCCCAGTCCTATGGGACGCAGCTGGTAACATCCCTGCAGTCTGAGGCCTTTCACTGTGACTCTCTATCTTCCCTTGCAGAGGTACTCCTTTACCACATTTGTTTTATTCCCTGTCACTCCTGCCTGTTTCTACATTTTGTACGCTTTCACACATCAAGGGGTCTCGTAGCCTGGTGGATAGCGCGCAGGACTCGTAATTCTGTGGCGCGGGTTCGATTCCCGCACGAGGCAGAAACAAATGGGCAAAGTTTCTTTCACCCTGAATGCCCCTGTTACCTAACAGTAAATAGGTACCTGGGTGTTAGTCAGCTGTCACGGGCTGCTTCCTGGGGGTGGAGGCCTGGTCGAGAACCGGGCCGCGGGGACACTAAAGCCCCGAAATCATCTCAAGATAACCTCAAGATAACATCGTCGTATAGAGCGACGTGTGGAAGGCTTCCAAGCACCCAAATATACAGTCCATCTCTGTCCTGTCTGCCCATCACAGAATAGAGCTAGATTGATGCCCTCAGGTAACTCATCTAATAGACTTAGAAACAATCGAAATAACACCGATATAGATGAGTTTAACTTCTTGATAATAATATATAATTTATTTGTCTATAATGGACAGAATATCGGACGTTACTGTCAATATCTGATATAAAATTAACATTAATAAACAAATATATATAATAAAGACATTTTATTAGAGAGAAGCATGACAGAGTTTATGACGTGATGTGACTTCTAAACTCACATAAAACTGAAGCATTTTCTTCACAACATCCTGGAAAATAAGTTTGTAGATAAAGTAAATGAAGAAGCTCAACTCTTGACGCTCTTTCCAAATTTTCTAAATTATTTCAGAAAATCATTTACCGCCGATTTTACTTTCATTAAATTTCATTCAATAATTACATGTTACATTGATTCCTTGCTGCAGTGCTGCAGGAGGAAAGGTAATTCTCAGGAAAGAGTGTAAAGCCGGTATGACAATATTGCACTTGGAAGGGCTATAAGTAGGAGGAACTGGGATATGAGGACAAGGAGTTAGGCTATGAAGACAAGGAGCTGGGATTATGGACGAGAAGCTGGGATAAGAGGACAAGGAGCTGGGATTATGGACGAGGAGCTGGGATAAGAGGACAAGGAGCTGGGATAAAAGGACAAGGAACTGGGCTAAGAGGACAAGGAACTGGGCTAAGAGGACAAGGAACTGGGATAACAGGACAAGGAACTGGGATAAAAGGACAAGGAACTGGGCTAAGAGGATAAGGAGCTGGGAGAAGAGGAAGGCATGAAGGAATGTTGTCCATCCACTGAACCATCGGGGATCGAACGCTAACCCTATAAAATACAAGGAGTTGGTTCTACCGACCAGTCCAAGCCGACGGATGTGTGTCGTAAATGAGACACAAATGACTAATTCTCATTTTCTGACATCTTTTCCAAATTATGAGCGACATTGCTGAATGATGCAGAGAGGAGGGAGACTCTTGTAAAATAATTAGTGGCCCCCCCTAACACCCTTGAGAGTCCGTGCACTGTTGAGTGTAAGTCTTTGTCTTCATCAACGAGATGAATAGAATGATGATATATGTTGATGGACTGAGAGAGAAGAGTGTGGTCGATGGTGTGACTTCTTCACATACACATGTCATGAGATCATGATATAATTGGGGTTTATTGAGTTTGATATTTAAAACCTAAAACATCAAAGGTGTTATTAGACACACACAGAGATCACACTAACGTGATGCATCAAATGAACAAATCCACAAGGGCCGTGATGAGGATTTGAACCTGCGTCCGGGAGCAGGTTCGAACCTGCACCGGGAGCGGAAGTAAAAGCTTGGTTTGTGCCTCGGAGAGGCTACGGGATCCAGTAAGTTCAGTAGAACTTCGGTTTCAACCCTTTTACCCTGTCGTAGCTCAGTCGATTAAGGCAGTGTCTGGGATGCTCCCGGACGCAGGTTCGAATCCTCGTCACGGCCCTTGTGGATTTGTTCGTGTTATTAGAGGCTTCTCTTTTATTGATTCATATAACTAGTTCTGCTTCACTTTATAAATAACGTAAAAAGAGGCAACTGCGTAAGATTAGCGAAATAGCAATTATTATATGAAATAAAATGTACATTATGGAAAATATTTATATAAATTGCCATTGGGTAATTGACCCATGGGTAATTATACAAACAGATATACAAAGGGGCAGATATACAAACGTGATATGAACGGGAATACTGACTGGAGACATACGTGTCATGGATTGAACATTTTGCGTTATGTTTTTTTAGAAGAATCACAGTTTCCAGATTACTTTCACGAATAAAACCATTTAGTTACAGAAATACTTTTCACATGGAAACTAATCTCTCTCTCTCTCTCTCTCCTCTCTCTCTCTCCTCTCTCTCTCTCTCTCTCTCTCTCTCTCCTCTCTCTCTCTCTCTCTCTATCTCTCTCTCTCTCTCTCTCTCTC